GATAGAGGGAGAGAGCACTTGAATGGCTTTTCACTGTTTATATGGTGGAAGAGGAAAGAGAGATTCTCTAATTTTTTATTGAAAATTATATTTTATTGACATATATTTGCAAAGCTAGTTAATATATAAGAATATTTTAGAAAATGATGATGAGTGGTTATTTAATGTACATGGAAAACAAAATTGATAGCTGTTTATTCACACACCAAAAAATGTATGGAAAGTTTTATAAAAGCATATTCAAATCAAATACTTGAGTTAATTACCAAATTTAGACCTAATAATCCCATGCCAATGGTTTTATCTAATTTTTTGGGGTTAAAAATTAAAACAATGGTTTTATATAATTATGTACAATTTCATATTAACTAAATTTATAGTCGATGGTGGTCTTACAAATTCGAAATTCGATCATTAAAAATTTCAAGCAAGATCTATAACAATTTTTCATCACAATGTCAATCTTCATAAGAGCTGCTTGTTATTTTATTTTTTTCTTATAATTAGAAGCGTATTAGATATATTTAAGGTTCACGTTTTCCTTCACGTACGTTGCGATTTAGTTTTGGGCGCTTACACGAAAATTTTCGAATAATGAGATACTTTTAGTACAAATCTCTCTCTCTCTCTCTCTACACGTGCAAAAGTAAGGACTTTGGAAAAGTCGGTGGGTACGTGTAGTGTAGATGCATGCAAAACGAGACCCGCTCGTGCGTGTGGGAGGGTTCGATGACCATAGGACCCACAGTCTCAACAGTCTCGGAAACTCCAAAAAACATTTTTGAACCGCTCGTGTGGCTCTACTATGCACACATACAGATATTGCACGTACGTTAAGTGTGTGTGTGAGAGTTAATTATGGGAAAAAAACAACAGAATCAATTTTTGTCTGTTTCGGACACAAAGCAAGAAAAGATCTTAAAGGGAGAGAAATAAATTGCTTTTATGAGCTTTCTGTTCTCTCCATAACGTATATGTGTGTGTATATATATTCGCATGTTTCAAAGAATTCGTCTTGTATAGTTAAATTATAAAGTAATATCATGATTAGCTCAACAACTAGTTCAAGTACTTCAATACTTTTGAACGATGGGTTCGACGTCGTTTCGGATGTATACTGTATGGAAAACTGACGGGGCAAACGGAAAATACTGTATGTGCACATCCTTTATATTTCTCGTTTTGATATCCACAAAATGATTTTTTTGCTACTAGTTTAAATTTTAATTTTGCTGTAGTATTTTTTTGCAGGTTTTTTGAAACTATTAAATTGGTTAATGATTATGTAAAGTAAACTAATTTAGTTACAAAGAAATAGAGAAAATGGTTTTTCTAGTTTTTTATTAGGAAAACTAAAAGTAAGAAAAAAAAAGTGAATGGTAACAAACATAAAATTCAATTCCTTTCTTATGAACCAAAAAAATTAAAAGAACAACCAACTCTATTGAAGATCATTATTATTCAATGATATGGACTATTTATGTTCCCATTAAACCTATAAGTTGTAGACTTTAGATTTTTCTATCTTTTTGATATAAGAATTGAGTGGTCATTCGTTTGAATGTAATAATTATATTTCATGCGTAACAGCTTACTCTAGTCTTGATATGACTATAAACAAAACCATATATCTTTAGAACAAATTATAAAGTTAACTAGTAATTGTACTAAATTGGATCGAGTATGCAACCACATAGTTTTGATGGATTAAAATACTAGAGATTAAAGAGAAATCATGTAACTGAACTCGAACTAGAATTAAATTCAACAATGCTTTAACAAAAAAAAATTAAATTCAACAATAATAAATGAAGAATAAAACAAATACTATAACACGAATAGACGTTAGAAACCAAAGAAACGACAGAAAAGTACCCAAAGTTTTATATTTATTGTGTCTTGTTTTTATGTGAGTTTCGGTTATGGGAACGGTTTCGTTAATTTTGAAATCTTCTGTTGACGACAAAAAATAAGTCTTGTACCGACGTGGAATGACGACATCATTGGCTGTTACACACGAGCGGATCGTGTTCTTACCTAACACGTGTACCGTCCTCACGATTTTCTGTTTCCGGTTCATAGAAAAGTTCCCTGAACCGTTATGGACCAATTCCACTTTTCTTCTGTTTGTTTATTAAGACTTTTGAATGATTATTATTTAATGACATTTTTACAAATCATATTTTCGACTATGGAAGAATTATCTTTTCCAACGAGATAGGCAACGACCATGAAAATTTTTGGTCTGTAATTTCAAAGGTTGTTTTATTTAGGGCTAAGAGATAATATGAAACCCATAAACAAAAAAAATTATGATGTGAAGCATATATAATATGTTTCGAGGGGGCTAGATATTTTTGTTTCGTTTGGATTCCCATTTATTTTACAGCTAGTTTATTAAAGTAATCGATTTTTAATTTGGGAGTTGTTTCATCAAATGCTATCGACTGTATTTTAGGGGTTACATTTAAGATTATCAAAAGTTTGACGACTTATATATCAATTATTAGGAAAAAAAAGTTTGACGACTTAAATTCAAATTTCTAATAAAATTTTCAGTGAAGTTGTTTATTGGTCCGACTATATAATAGCGCAAGATGGTAAGAGCTTTGTAACGGTAGAAAAATATATAATGATAATAATGGCGGTATGGTTGATGATGGTAAAAATAATAAGAGATGATGGTACAATGAGAATTAGCGGTTCAATTTTGGTTGACAAAATATTTCAAAGATATTAAGATAAAACTATTTGTAATTCTTACCGCTTATAACTGTGGGTAAAATTTGTTGTTTCTTGAGTAATTTGTTTTAGACGGCTAACTCTTTAATACTTACCATTTTCTTTCTGTTATTTCCTTCAAACTTCACTAAAAAGTTACACAAAATAAAACAAACTCATTCTTCTTACTATTTGACATGAATGAAAAATGATTCAATCAATTCAACTAAATATTTTGAAAAATGAATAAATCATAAAGAAAAACTGTTAGAGAAAAAAAAAGAAAAAAAAATAAATAAAGAAAAAACTGTTCAATTTCAACTTTAGTAAAACAAAAGAATTGTATTGGGATATAGACTCGAATAGGGTAACACAGTGATCTAATGGAAGTCGTTAGACCAAAAAAAACCAGCTACATATTGAATGGATAATAAGATTGCTTTTTCTACATTGTTCGGAGTTTCCTTCTCTTTACGTAGTTCGTAGATCCATCGGATCATGTTCCTCATTTGATAAAGTCGTCGGTGAATTTTACGAACATCGCTTTTCTCTCTTAAAATTAAGTTTATGTGATGCTGATAACAAAAAAAAAGTTTATATCACCTCAACCGAAATGGTTAGTGGTTTTCATCGATCGAAAATATTGATTAACCAACAAAAGATATGGTAAAAATATATCTGATCATTGTTTAACCATAATTTCGAACACTAGCACTTGTCTGATTTTTCTTAATGGAATTGGTTTTCTTATCCTTGTTAAAAAATTGAGACAACCTTGCAATAGAACCAGAAAACAAATGGTGGCGAGAAAAGATAACTTTCGAAACTCCAAAACGCTAAAATATTGTTCGAATAATCATGATTCATGAGATAAGTCACACTAATTACATTAACTTAGAAAAAGTTTCTTTAAAACTTCTTGATTAGTTTTAAAGAAGACACTTTAACTAATTTGAGGAATTTAGGGCTTTATCTCATGATGTAATGACATAAAGTCTCTTTCTTTAAATTGAATTTTAATTACAAATCATGTCAAAGTTGTTAGCCGGTCCATTGCACTTGTGAGTTGTGGCATAGAACTAAACATATCACATCAAAGTATAAATAGTAGTTAATTATGATAAAATACATTTCTAGGGGAATTAATGAGGTTATACCTTACGGACTTTAGATTGAAGTCATTATCAAGGCAGTTAATTGTCTACGTACTAACCAATATTTTACTCCACATAGTTCCAAACAACAAATTTAGTTATTACATTATAAATAGCTTAGTGTATGCTAAAGTATTAATCAAAATAAACATTAGTCAAAAGTTGACGGCAGTGATCGGCAACTAATCCACACACAACTTTAACTCACAGTGACTCCCACGTTCAAGAGAACACAAATATTATTCTCTCCCTTTTACTACCTCTAATGTTTTAATTTTCTTTTCTTTCGTTTATTTAAAACTATATTTATTACGTAATATTTTAAAGTTGATTTCTATTTCTTAAGTTTTATTAAGTTTATATGTTACAAGTTCTGAAATCAAGAAGTAATACATAAACGATCTTAGATCCTTGACATGCTTTTTTCTATAGGTAAAAAACTGTAAGAATAGCTATATATCATTTATTATTTTCGAAAGTCGTAACATGTAAACTTATAATTAAAAAAGAAAAGTTAGAAATTAAATAAAGTATGTGAAATCTCTAAACATCACTTATTACGAACATACATACAGTTTAAAGTTTGGTTAAAGTCAAAAGAAATGTATGCATGCGTATGATGACATTGTACAATGTACAATTGTACACTTCAACTTTTCAAGTCACGAAAATTGATGTCAAATCGACGTGCAATTTGATAAAATACCGAATCAGATCCCTTTTTTATATTGTAGAAATTGAAGATTTCAAGATAAAACTCACGCTAATCTTTAAAACATGTCTTAGATTAATAGATTACTATCACTCTATCAGTTGGTTAACTCCACTATTAGTACGAAATATATACTTTTAAGGGACATCTCATTTGAATGAAATACACTATTTGCCTCGGACACAGCCTTTTTCATTTAAAACATTTGTTTGTCTTAGAGCTCCTTAAATGATAATAACCTTAAGAAAAATCTTCACAACGCAACCCTTGATTAAAAGATTAACAAGAACCAAACATTCATAATGATAAGCCCAATTAGGACAAATATCACATGGACATATGGGCCTATGTTAGCCAATATGGGCCCATTGACATCGTCGTAAGAAAGCTGGATAAAAAAACCTAACGGTCACCGTCGACGACGAGCAACGATGAACAACTCCACCAGACTCATCTCTCTCTTCTCTCCTCATCCTCCTCCTCTATTTCTCCTCCGTGGTCTCTACATCAGCCGCATAACTAATCTCCGCCGTTTCCACCGCCGGACGTTTCCTTCTTCCTCTGTTGGCTCAACCAATCGAACTTCTTCCCGTCCACTCGTGTCTTTGCCACCGCTTATCCCCACGTTTCCCATTAGACGGCTCTACACTCACCAAGTCCGTGTCTCCGCCGCAGATTTTGTTCCTTCTTATCACCACCAGCTACCTGAATGGACAGAGCTACTCCAATCTCTTTCCCAAGCTGGTTACTTCTCAAATTCCGATTCGATTTCCGGTTCAGAAAGTGAATTCTTTCCCGGTTTTCCAGATGAACTTCTCCGTCCAGCTCTTGCTTGCTTAGCTCTAGCTCGTGATCGACCAGAATTACTTGAGTAAGTAAGCTAGAATTTTTCTCTTTCTCTTTTTTGATTGATTCTCAATCTGATGTTACTGTTTATTAGAATGCTTTCGAAGAGAGACGTTGAAGTGGTGGTGGAGAATGGGAAGCCATTTTTGTTTAGGACTGGTCCAGATTCACTTAAAAGGATGAGCCTTTACTTAAGAAGTGGTCGTCAGGGTATTGGTAAGGTAAGTTCTATCTTCTTGCTAAGGCTTAGTCCTTTTTATTGGTGGGATGGTGAATTCTCGTCTCGCTTAGAAAAGTTAGTTAGTAGGTTATGTCTAAACTTTGTTCAATGGTGATTTGTGCCCCAAAGTTATGATCTTTTGTGTTTCATATTAGATGATGGATATGGAGAAGGCGAGTACAGTTGATTTGATGAGGCTTCTTTTGAGTTATGTTGTGGATGTTGCTTCTTCTGAGGAGAGCAAACACCATAACCAAGAGCTTATGGAGTCATCGGTTCGTAACCTCTTGAGTCAGATAGCGAAGATGAGTTTTGGTACTTCTGAGTCGAATGTTCGTGGCACGATGCAAAATCAGTTCTCAGACAGAAATGGACAAGCAGTTGGGGCCTTTCAGAAGAACATTGAGATGAAACGTGGTGACTGGATTTGCTCGAGGTATGAATTTGTTGGATTCTCAGTAGCCTTTTGATATGAATCTCCTATGGCTTGTTACTTGCTATTCTTCCATGGAAAGATATAAGAATACTGAATACATTACTTGTGGTGAAAGATCATATCTTTAGAGCTAAGAAGTCAACAAGTTGGTCTTCGTTTAGTCTTGCTGTTGTTTAGGGAATCTGTATATGATGTGAGAATTTGTTAAAACAGGTGCAGTGGCATGAACTTTGCGAGAAATGTCAAATGCTTCCAGTGTGATGAAGCAAGACCAAAGAGACAGCTTACTGGTAGTGAATGGGAGTGTCCCCAGTAAGAAACTAATTTTTTTTCTCTGCTACTGTATTGTTAATGCGATGAGGAATGATTAGTTTAACCCTTCCTTTCTTTCTTGGTTGTTTCACTTATCAGATGTGATTTCTACAATTACGGGAGGAATGTAGCTTGCTTAAGATGTGACTGCAAGCGACCCAGGGACTCTTCACTTAGTTCAGCCAACTCTGGTTATTCAAATGATCCTGAACTTGAAAGGAGACTGGTGGAAAACGAAGAGAAAGCACAGAGGTGGTTTAGTAAAGTAGCACAGGGTGGTTCTGATGCAAACAGTGTTGATGCAGATGAAGATTTTCCAGAGATTATGCCTTTGAGGAAAGGAGTGAATAGATATGTTGTTAGCACGAGGAAGACACCTCTTGAGAGAAGGTTGGCTAATACTGAGAACAGTGTAGCTACAGATGGAAACTCGAATGGGAACGACGGTAAGGCTTTGGGAAGTAAAACGAATAGGAGCTTGAATGAGATTCTCGGTTCTTCATCCTCTTTGGCTTCTCGATCTGATGACAAGAATGTATCTTCCAGAAGGTTTGAATCTTCCCAGGGAATAAACACCGATTTCGTCCCATTCGTGCCACTACCTTCAGATATGTTTGCCAAGAAACCTAAGGGGGAAACACAGATAGGTCTGACTAACAACAACCAAATGGATAGTGTCTCAGGCGGAAATCAAAATGTCAATCAAGAGGACAAGTCAGATGCAAATCTCTCTGGCAAAGAAAAAGATAGTCTTGAAAAGGATGGTCAAGAATCAGAGGAACCTGCAAGGTGGTTCAAGAGGGTCACTGAACTGCACAATGTTTCAGACTTGGAAAGCACAATACCGCAAGAGATTTCTCCTGATAAAATGCCAATGCGAGAAGGAGAGAATCGGTTTGTGGTTAGTAGGAAAAAAGACCGTTCACTGACTTCTCCAGCATACAAGAGACCTTCACAAGATTCAGACTTTGTCCCCTTTGTCCCTTTCCCACCTGACTATTTCGCCAAAGAGAAACAACCCAAGGAACCAGTAGATACTATTCCAGCTCCGGCAGCAGTAAACATTTCGAAGGTAGTCCAACAAGAACCAAGAGAACCTTCAAGCAACAAATCCGAAACAGTCGCAGGGAATATCAGAAATGGAAAGAGCTTGGAGGGTTCATTAGTGAAGGAGCCCGACTTGTTGGACATGTCAGAGGAAGCAAAAGCGGAGAGATGGTTTAAGAGAGTGGCTGAGATTAAGAACATATCAGAGCTGAGTCAGATCCCAGACGAAGATTTCCCATCAATAATGCCGATGAGGAAAGGAGTGAATAGGTTTGTTGTCAGCAAGAGGAAGACTCCCTTGGAACGGCGTTTAACTTCTCAACGACACCAGAGAAATCCTCAGATCACCGACTCTGATCCCGCGGGTAAAGGAGATAAATGACCTTGTAGCATAACATTTTTGCGGAGTTAATATACAATACGATTTTTGTATTTCTTTGATTCAACTTCTTTATTTATATACACAATGGGTAGAAACTCTATTCTCCATCTTTAGCGACGAGGGCATCCTTTAGAAAGTGGCTGTGCTTCTTCTCTCCTCCTGCACACAACAAAAACAGCATTGATTTTGAAAATTAGGTACTGTGAACGATCTCAAAATGGAAGAAGCAAAAGGAGAGTTAGAAGAAGCAAAATGGAAATGGCAAGAATAGAACGGCGTCGTTTTCTAATATATGTGGGTAAATCAGGCTCCCCTATTTTGGGCCGGGTAAGCCTGCGGGCTTTTTCACCTATATTACCATATCCGTAAGATTTGCCGACCAAAAGAAAAAAAAACATATAATTTAGAATGCATGCATCTAAACTTTGGTAATAAATTCGAAACTTCTCTCTTTCGACGTGGCTTAACCACTCATCTCAATTTCTCTCGCGGTCTAGATTCTCTCCGCTTCTATGTCTTTCCCGAGAAAACCCGGGACAGCCATTCACACCGCTCTCTCTTCAATCGTCTTCTTCTTCTTGGACCTCATTGACGTGATTCTCTGCGTCGTTTACGAGTTCGTCGACGAGATTTTGGAAGGAAAATCAAGAGACTGTTACTGCACGGCGGCGGCTTCTCAAAGCACCGGTGAAAATGAGTTCTCGGAAACTTTATTCCGGAGGAGAAACATTTTCCGGGAAATGTGGTTTGTGGGATTCGCTAGAAAATTCAAATCCAAGCTTTCCCAGAAAATGAGAAAATCTAAGATTCATGAGTCGGTGAATAGATGGTCAGATTGTGGTTGCCAATCTTGCAATTCGTGGACGAAGAACGAATATGGGAATCTTCACGTTGTGGTCAAAGATTCTACTTCTCCAGGTCAATTCTATTTCTCTGCACATTGGTTAGTTAAAGTTTGCTTACTTACAATTGCTTTGATTCTTTCATGTTGAAGAAACAGAGTACTCTGTTCAAGAACCGTCCGAGAATGTAATATTTATACATGGTTTTATGGGTTCATCACATTTTTGGACAGAGACTGTGTTTGAACACATTGAGAAATATGATTATAGGCTCTTCGCTATCGATCTTTTGGGATTCGGGGATAGTCCTAAGCCAAGAGATAGTTTCTATACATTGAGAGATCATGTGGAGACGATAGAGAGATCTGTCATTAAGCCGCATCAATTAGATTCATTTCATGTAGTTGCACATTCGATGGGTTGCTTAATTGCTCTTGCTTTGGCTGCTAAACACTCCAACATTGTTAAATCCGTCACTCTTGTTGCACCGGTGAGAGATTAGTTTGTTTTCTAATCTTATATTTTTCAATCCAATTCTCAAAGATTCGATTGTGAACTTATGTTTTTGTGTTTTCTACAATTCAGCCTTATTTTCCTTCATCAGTTGAAGGATCGGTCTTGAACCGAATCGCTAAAAAGCGGTTGTGGCCACCGCTTGCCTTTGGAACCGCAGTGATGTCTTGGTATGAACATATCGGTAGATGCGTATGTTTCATAATCTGCAAGCATCACAAGATATGGGAGTGGCTAATCAACCTATATATGGGTAAAAGGTAAAAAATATTTTGAACCATTTTTGGTGATTGTCTCAGTTTTTAAAGCTATATCAAATATTTTCAATGAAGGGTTTGGTTTTGTTTAGGGAGATTCCTTGGAAGATAAAGGACATAACAAGGCACACACATCACTCTGCATGGCATAGTATGCACAATGTGATATGTGGTGGCTCCAAATTTGCTGATGAACATCTCGAAACCTTAATAAACTCTGGCGTTAAGATTCACTTGATGCAAGGCGACCGCGATAAAATCGTTCCTTCACATTGCTCTAGCAACATGAAGAGGAAATTTCCGGCGGTGGAAGTGGATATCATCGCTGGTGCTGATCATGATAGTATGATAAGTTTAAGAGGAGAAGAGTTTGCTGAAAAATTGGAGAGCATTTGGTGTTCATGTAGAACAGTTTCAGTTACTTAAAACATTGAATAAACTCAGTTTGATACAAAACTAAACGAATAACAGATTCTTGTGCTTCTCTTTGAAAGATGAAGTCTATTGTTGTTGGGCCATCATTTAATAGGGGCCCAAATGAAGTCCAATTATGGGATCCCTCCAATCATGTACTCGCATCGGATAAATTCATAGTCAAATCCATAGTTGTTTGACTGTTGAAAAGAGGAACACCGAACACATTAAGCAGCACAATGGATTTGAAAAAGTCTTATGTAATTTTACTGCTAGTATAGGTAGAAATTGTTATTTCTCCTCATCATAATTAAGTTTTACTCTATATCCTATTTTGTTTTCACTTTTCACCAATCAAAGAGAAACTGGAAGTATAATATGAGGAAAATCTTCATTTTCCCTTGCCACTATTTTAGTCTACAAATTGCACCAGTCAGTCAGAACTAAAAAGTGAGTCTAGTGGTCACATAATTCACCAACCACCAACCATACTATCATCCTTAAGAGTGTAAGTATTTTTTTCAAAAAAATTAATAATATGATTTGACATTTGTGGTGGGTGAGTGATTAAAACAAAATGTAATTGAAAAAACTAAAAACATTTATTTCTTAGAAAAATTATACTATATGTAACGTTTTTTTTTTTTTTTTTTTTTTTTAAAAGCTGGTATATGTAAAAAATATTTTGGTCAAAAATGTAACAAATATGCTGATGGAATAATAATAATGTGTTGCAAAAGAGGTAACTATACAACGTGATGGTGGTAGGTTTACCAGATCCCATACCCTCGTTTTAATGGCGGAGATAACAAGGGAAAGAGACTACACCAAATCAAAGCACTGATTTTTGCAACAATCCCCCATTTTATTTTCCCTTTATTATTCTTAAGCTTCATTTGATTATTTTCTTCTTCCTTTCATTTGGGTTGAAAGAGCCATGGATACCGAATTCCTCCGAACCCTAGATCGTCAGATTCTTTTGGGTGTCTTCATCGCTTTCGTCGCCGCCGGTGCTGGTGCTGCTTATTTTCTTACATCCTCCAAGAAACGCAGAGGTTCGATCTCAATTTCAAATCTTTTTCAATTCACAAATGCGTTAGCTGAGTGATTGATTATTCTCTTAGAAGATTGATTTCAAATCGTGAAATTTTGGATAGATTTAGGTAAAAGTTTGTGTTTGGAATGTTGGGTTAGTCTACAGAAATTGAAAAATTGAGCCTTTTTGGTCTTTATGTGTGTGGGTTACTTATTTCAATTGATCTACTTGAAGATTTGAGTAAATCTTGTGATTTTTTTGTTGGTTTATAGTGTGCTTGGATCCAGAGAATTTCAAGGAGTTCAAGCTTGTTAAGAGAAATCAACTTAGTCACAATGTGGCCAAGTTCATTTTTGAACTTCCAACTTCTACCTCTGTGTTGGGTCTTCCCATTGGACAACACATCAGTTGCAGGTTTGGTCCTCGTAGTTCTTATTATCCTCTCTGTGTTTTGTTCACAATTTCTGAACTTTTTAGATCAAAGTTCAAACTCTTGCCAGTTGCTAGATACTGAAACCTAGATGAAATGGATGTGACCATGCATAATTGTAGACTTTAGGTTAGGTTTTGTGTTGAGATTCATTTAGAGAGTTTCCATGAATGTGTTGTTGTGATGTGTATGGTGACTTTCTCTATAGGGGAAAGGATGGTCAAGGAGAGGATGTTATTAAGCCATACACCCCGACTACCTTAGACTCAGACGTTGGACGTTTCGAACTTGTCATTAAGGTATATGGTTAAAAGACATTTCTCAACTTGACTTGGTTTTTCAATTTGGGTGTTCCTTCTCCCTAATTCGATCGAAAAATGCTGCCAAATAGATGTATCCGCAAGGAAGGATGTCTCATCATTTCAGGGAGATGCGTGTTGGAGACCATCTTGCCGTTAAGGGACCAAAGGTACCTTTGATTTTAGATGTTTTGCTTACTTGATCTTACTCAATCAAAATTGTTATTCTATACTTTTCTTGAATCTCAAACTTTTTTGTTTTATTTTCTTTTACTTGTCAGGGTAGGTTCAAGTATCAACCAGGTCAGTTTAGGGCATTTGGAATGCTTGCTGGAGGTTCAGGCATCACTCCCATGTTCCAAGTATGTCTGCTACATTTACGTTTAATATCGTTTTGAAGCCAATGTATATGTTTAAAACGCGTAATATTTCGCATTTGTGAAGGTCGCCAGAGCAATTCTAGAAAACCCAACAGACAAGACAAAGGTGCACCTCATTTACGCCAATGTCACATATGACGACATTCTCTTGAAGGTAAAACGCCTTTCACCTGCTGTTTCCTATGAGTCGAGAACAAGTATTACGTTTTCAGAGACTATTTCCAAATACTAAATGTTATGTGAATCAATACATTGTTCTTCCAGGAAGAATTGGAGGGTCTTACCGCCAATTACCCAGATCAATTCAAAATCTACTATGTTTTGAACCAGGTTAGCCTTGAAATCCAAATGTTTTTGCGTTTCTTTAATGTAAAATACCTAAAATGACTCGTTCTGATACCTTTTGTTCTTGTTGTTTTGGTATATCTTCCGTGGCAATGATTAGCCTCCGGAAATATGGGATGGTGGTGTTGGATTTGTATCAAAGGAAATGATTCAGACTCATTGCCCTGCACCGGCATCCGATATTCAGGTAAACCCTCCTCTGCTCTTGATATTGAACATAACCAATCATCACAAATTCTAAAGTCTATCTCGAAAACATAATCTTATAATCGATGAGTGAAACAAAACCGCAAAATATCTGTCAGTGTTACAAAGCAAAACCAATAACACTGCAAGAGAATGAAACATTGATAAACAAGTCATTTTTAGTGAGGATCATATGGTTTAAAATGGTGTTTCGATCTTATTATGGTTCATATTTAAATTGCAGATCCTAAGATGCGGGCCACCGCCGATGAACAAGGCCATGGCTGCAAACCTTGAAGCTCTGGGATACTCTCCGGAGATGCAATTCCAGTTCTGATATGAATCTCTTCTTTTGATTGCTCAGAAACGGAACTCATAATAAGTTAGTTACAATCCCACATATCAGAGTTGTGTCTTAACTGAGTGAGAGTTGTATTTTCTGTTGTGCGTTTGTGTTAGCCCACCTGAAGTTTCAATTGATTGGTTTACGAATTGGTTATAAATTTTGGTTTACGTATACCGGTTTGGTGCAAATATTTGATGCTTGATAGTGAGTAGCGACTTACTGACAATCTGACATGACCTACCCTATTTGTTTTGGTATGTTATGCTATCAATTTTGGCTACTAGCTATACGTGAATCATCATCAATCCACTTTTTAAAAGCAAAGCTAAAAAGGATGATTGAAAATATATATTATTGGTAGATTGATTAACAAATTTATAATTTTCTAAGACGGCTTTTGTTTAGTTGGGTTGTTCTTTTTCAAAAATTTTCTTTTTTTTGAATCATGTAATGCTTTATGATGTTTTTAGTTAATATTTTTATGAATTTGGTACTATCAATATTTAACATGCAGAAGTAAAAGTTTATTTTCTCTATTTTATACCCGCATCTTCATAAAGTGCTTTTCTTGACCGTCATATTCAAACTAGTGACGTTGTGAAATATGAGATACTAGTCAAAAATGCAAAAAAAAACAAAAAAAAAAGATGTGAAAAATGTAAATAATGAAAAAAAGTTAACAAAGAAATAGATAAAATAATATACGTAACTGTCAAAAAGACAAAACAAAAAAATGTTTTTATATATGATCGTTCAAAACTATGGAACCGTAGATTGATTCCGTCCTTCAACTATATCACATATTACTAACCGATAAAATTGTAAATTCTATTACTTTCAAAATGTGCATCAAATGACAACATTGGATAAGATTCAAGATTATCAATTCGAAGATCTTCTACTATTGTTTCCTCGGATTTTTTGTTAAACAGTTCGAAAATGAGACAAAATAAATTCAATTGATCATTTAGAATTTCCTTTTTCTTGTTCCATTTCCGCCTTTAAGATGGAGACGTTTTTTTGACTAATGAAACAAAAAAGTTACTTTAGTATTTTATATTTGGATAAAAAATGTATTGTTAAATTCAGTTTTGAAGTATTGGTGAACGTTACCAATTAAATTATTGATAGTATTGGTGAACGATGCAGAGTTTGAGTGGTTTCAATATTTTTTTAAGCAAAGCATTTTGATTTAAAATAACGCCACGGTCCAAAATGAACGAAACGATGAATTCATGACTCATAGTACACTTAATATTCTTGGTTACTGAGTCGAATCATCGAATGATCTTCTGACACGTACTTTTCTCCTTTTTCACATTCGTACACTTGTTGAATTGCAATACGCAATTGCCTTAGCACCCACATGCCACATCGCGACAATCTAGCGGAATCTTTTTGTTTTTGGTCTTTTATGGTCAATCATCAAATATCTCATAAATATACCAAAGTTTAAAGTTATTTTCTAACCATAAATAGTGACTGTAATACCCAAACTTACTAACATAAACACATCTACTAAAACTTCCAAATTTGTTTTGGTAGACAATAGTGTCAGTGTAATAGGTTCTGTTCTTATGGAAATGATTTAAAAGACAATAATGTTTTGGGTTATTTTGGTAATCGAGTTTTTGTATATAATGGCTATTTACGTTAAGTGTGTATTGTACAAGTCATCTTCCACTTCAACAAACATAATCCAAAAATAATATGCTTTTTTCTGTCAAGCAAGAAACGTTTCGAAGAATAACATAATTAAAGAAGTCCTTGTGTCTATGTGAAAACGTCACTGATCCAATGGTTAAGCTGATAATGGATTAGTATCGATCTCTACAACGTAATCAAGACGAAGAGAACAAAACAACAAAATTGCCACACAACAACTGCATAATATAAAAGTTAGAAACATGGATATTTTTCGAGTCTTCATTGGTCAAGCAATAAATATTAAAAAAATACTGTTCATATGAGATAAAAATGGAAAATGAATGGACATGCTCTTCGTGGAAAGAGACGTGGAAATTTTCCATGAGTTTCTTTTGTCCTTTTTCTACTTTTTCTATTATTTACTTTTTCCATTCTCAAAATATTTAATAATATTGTGGAAAAAAACACACACATCCATTGAATAAAGACAACAAGATTGTATTAAGACATTGTGTGACTAATAATGTCTTCTAACCCCAAATGAAACCTTCTTCCTTAAGGTTCTTCTCTTCTTCTTTATATATCTCTTTCACCTCTCGCTTTCACTCTCTCCATCTCCAAGTAACACAATAAGAAAACAGAGCAAAAACAGAGAGATTACGATGTTTTTCTCTAAGGATCTTCCTTCACCTACTTCAGTTTTCACAGCTTACGCATCAATGGCGGGTTACATGATGATGATACGATCAATGGCTCACGAGCTAATCCCAGCTCCAATCCAAGATTTCATCTACAGGACTCTCCGGTCTCTCTTCTTCCGTACTTCTTCCTCCACTTTGACTCTCACCATCGACGACGACAACATGGGCATGAACAACGAGATCTACCGAGCTGCTCAGACTTATCTCTCCACCAAGATCAGTCCTGACGCAGTCAGGCTCAGAATCAGTAAGGGCCATAAGGATAAACATGTCAATCTGTATCTCAGCGACGGAGAAATCGTCAACGATGTGTACGAAGATGTCCAGCTAGTGTGGAGGTTTGTTACAGACGGTGGAGACAAGAAAAGCGGTGGCGGAGGAGTAGGAGGAAGAGGAGGAGGAGGAGGAAGAAGAGGCGGTATGGACGATGACGGTAGAAGCGAGTATTTCGAGCTGAGTTTCGACAAGAAGCATAAAGATTTGATCTTGAGCTCTTACGTGCCTTACATCGAGAGTAAAGCTAAAGAGATTAGAGACGAGAGGAGAATCTTGATGTTGCATTCTCTCAACAGTCTTAGATGGGAATCAGTTATTCTTGAACATCCTTCGACCTTTGAGACAATGGCTATGGAAGATGATCTCAAACGTGACGTCATCGAGGATCTTGATCGGTTCATAAGAAGGAAAGAGTTTTACAAGAGAGTAGGGAAAGCTTGGAAGAGGGGTTACTTGTTGTACGGACCACCGGGTACTGGGAAGTCTAGTCTGGTTGCAGCCATGGCTAATTACCTCAAGTTTGATGTTTATGATCTTCAGCTAGCCAGTGTGATGCGTGACTCTGATCTAAGGAGGCTCTTACTCGCGACACGTAACCGGTCGATTCTTGTCATAGAAGATATCGATTGTGCAGTGGATTTGCCTAACAGAGTGGAGCAGCCTGTTGAAGGCAAGCACCGTGGCGAGTCTCAGGTTAGATTTCTACTATAATTGGTTTTGGTTTAGGATTGGCCATTTTAACAAAAATTACCAAATCGAACCAAACCAAAATCCGTACCAACCAAATTTGTTTTGTAGACCAGTAGTTCAAATTTAGTCACACCAGATTGAATCTGATTAGTCTAGAGAAATTTATTATACTTAAACGGTTTTATTTTTTTTGTTTTCTGTGAAAATGTGTGTTTAGGGACCATTGACGTTATCGGGGCTGCTGAATTTCATAGACGGACTATGGTCAAGCTGTGGAGACGAACGGATTATAATATTCACAACAAACCACAAAGATAGGCTTGACCCGGCATTGCTTAGACCAGGACGTATGGATATGCACATTTACATGGGACATTGCTCTTTTCAAGGATTCAAGACTTTAGCTTCTAACTATTTGGGTTTGAACGACTCTACAATGCCACACCGTCTCTTTCCAGAGATCGAGCGTTTGATTGACGGGGAAGTAATGACCCCGGCACAAGTAGCAGAGGAGCTGATGAAGAGCGAGGATGCTGACGTGGCGCTAGAGGGTTTGGTGAATGTTTTAGAGAAAATGAGGTTAAAATCTGAGGAATCTAACCCGGTGATGATGAAGAAGAAAGAGAGTAGACTGGAGTTGGAGGAGATAAGATTAAGGAGTGATACTGAGGGTTCTCCGAGGAAGAACAGCAAAAGATTTAAGAAACTTGTTCTGTTTTGGACCTAATCGTGTGTTATTATGGTCCATTAGTTCAAATAAGATTATGAGGAAACAAAAATAGACGTAAAAAGTTTGGAAATCTCTGAGATGATTTATTTAAGTTGAGTGTTTTTTTTAAAGAAATTTCTATGTTTATTTGGTAGGGTTGTGATTCATTGTAAGACCTATTAAGAAATATGGAACTTTAGTTTTCTTTAAAGTAAGAGCAGGATTATCGGTGTATCTTAGCAACATCTTAACACAAATCTTAGCATTAAAAGTAAATATATTTAATCAAACCAACAAATATTTGCTAAGATATGTATCTTAGTTAAGATGTTTTTTCTTAAGTTTAGAAGTGCACACGTGTCACGATTTGAGTGGGAAAAAGAAAAAACAAAACCAAATAGAGTAAAAATTTGTATGTCCTTAAGAACTCCTTGCTTCTTAACCAATGGAGTAAAAATTTGTTAAGATATTGTATAACTTTTCTTAACTTACAAATAGTGAAATTTTAATTTAAAATAAGGTTAAGATCTAATGTTAAGATACACCGATAATCCTGCTCTAAGAAACTATTGAGATAGTCTTTGGAGAGGTACATTACCGAGAATGTTATACAACGCACATCTATCTATACTAAGAAAAAATAAAGCATAGAGTCTCTTGTTACATAGACTTTGAGAAGATCAAATCTTTTAAGTTTTAATATCTTCATTTTTTATTTTTTTTTGTTTGGCAGCATATCTTCATTTATTTCTTTAATTTATTTATGTGGTAATGAATATTCTAAACCTGCGTAACAATAGCTTGATGCGTACTTTGTGTAATTAGGCTAATGGGCTGGCCTTTGTGGCCCAAAATATGAAAAAGAGAAAATTATCTCTCAATACAATTCTCTATATAATAAACTCAATTTACCAAAAGAGAGACCAAACCCTAAAGTCGAAAACGATGGTGTTCTCTAAAGATCTCCCTTCTCCTGCAACAATGTTCTCTACCTACGCATCACTAGCGGGATACATCATGATGGTCAAGCCAATGATTCATACGATAATTCCACAACCGGTACAGAACTTCGTTTTCTCTTACATCAAGTCTTTAGTCGGCTCTCGTTCATCAACTCTCACGCTTGTCATCAATGACATGATCAACGGGTATGATAAGAACGGGATGCCGAGAAAAAACGAGCTCTTTTTGGCAGCTCAAGCTTATCTCTCAAGCAAGATAAGCCCCGATGCATCAAAGCTAAGGGTGACTAGAGATCGTAACAATAAGAACGTCAACTTATACCTCAGCCAAGGAGAGGTTGTCTCCGATGTCTACAAAGGCATTGAGCTCAAGTGGCGGTATCTAGCTGGCAGAAACAAGACAACCACGGTTGTAGATGGAGGACAAGAAGATATGGTCGTCAATTGGCAATGCTTCGAGCTAAGCTTCGACAAGAAACACAGAGACTTGGTCGTGAACTCCTATGTACCTTACGTGGAGAGGAAAGCAAAGGTGATCAAGGAAGAGAGGAGAATCATCAAGATGCACTCCTACTCTAGCAGTACGTATATGTGGCAATCTGTCAAATTCGAGCACCCTTCGACATTCGACACAATGGCTATGACGCCTAAGCTCAAGCGTTCTGTGATGGAAGATCTTGATCGGTTCATCAAAAGAAAAGATTACTACAAGAGAGTTGGAAAAGCTTGGAAGAGGGGTTACTTGTTGTACGGACCACCAGGGACCGGGAAGTCTAGTCTAGTGGCAGCTATGGCTAATTACCTCAAGTTTGATATCTATGATCTCCAGCTCGCAAGCGTTCAGGGAGACGCCCATCTACGAAACTTGCTTCTCGCCACTAATAACAGCTCCATTCTTCTTGTAGAAGATATAGATTGTTCCGTGGATTTGCCTACAAGGTTGCAACCTGCAACCATGATGCCGTATGGTGCTCCCCAGGTTTGTTCTTCACAATGTTTTAATGTTATATAATCTATTTTGTGCAACTATACATGGATCCTAAACATGTTTTGTATGAATAGGCAGCAACACCATTGACATTATCAGGACTTTTAAACTGCATTGATGGGTTATGGTCTAGTTGTGGAGATGAACGCATAGTAATATTCACGACTAATAACAAGGAGAAGCTAGACCCCGCATTGCTCAGACCAGGCCGTATGGATATGCACATTTACATGGGACATTGCAGTTTTGAGGGATTTAAAACATTGTCATCTAACTACTTAGGCCTGCCTAACGACAATGATGACCATCACCGTCTCTACCCGGACATCAAACGTTTGATTGATGGACAAGTGTTGACTCCGGCTCAAGTCGCCGAGGAACTAATGAAAAATGAAGATGCTGAGATGGCGCTTGAGGGTTTGGTTAAGGTTCTCAAAAGAAAGAGGTCGGAGTCGGAGAAGTGTGATGATGAATCTAAGAAGATGAAGATGCTCGAAGAGGGAGAGAAGAGAATATCCAACACTGAGGAGACCTGAACAATCTATGTTTTCACTTGAGAGAATCTTACAAATGGTTCGATAAGGATCTGGCACTTTACATTGTTTTTCTAGTTTTGGTTTTCGGGTCTAGTTTCAGGTTTTCTTCTTCACATTTAAGGTTATGTTTAAATTTGTAGCTTTTCAATTACAGTACTATAACTAATATATTTTAAACTTAATTTGGCAATATAACTTAGTCATAGATTTACAAATTACAATTGCCTATTAGTCACATGTGAACCGGAGACTTAAAATATGGAAGGTAGAATTCAAGAAAAGCAATTTCTTATTAATCTCAAGATCAAATTCCACGAAATTACAAAGAAATCTAACTAGCTTTGATAACAAGTTAGTGTTTTCCTTGCAAATGTGGATATTTTTCTCGTTGGTTACTCGTTTCTGTTTATACTTCTTCCTCCAGGTCTTCCAAAATGCTATTACTCCATGTCTTTTGAGTCAAGATCTGTCTTTCTTTTCTCATCCGCAATATTCATAGTATATGCGAGGTAATCCTTCAATTTTCCGTTAGGTCGATCTCGATCCTTTTATTCGTCGAGTTAATTGGGTTTTTTTCATAAGACTCACCTAAACATTCGATTTATTTTAGGTTCAAATCGAGTTAACCGGGTGGTGCTAAATCACTCTCCTACATCCCATATGAATAGATCTATACCAGAATATTAATCTATCAAGTATTTATTTAAAAAGACTTTATATCATATATTAAAAGGAAATATTCTTTCTTTTATCACAATGGAAAAAGAAAATACTTAACCAGAAAAAGAAAATAATTTGTGTGGTTAGAGAAAAATAAAAGGAAAACTATATCCCAATACAACCCTCTATATAAAGAAAATTTAATTTAACTAAAAGCCCTGTTCCGACGCAACAACATTGAAAAAGAGACACCAAAACCCTAATCTCAAAAACGTTTAATTCTCTATATAAACAAAATTTAATTTAACCAAAAGCCTCAGACGCAACACCATTGAAAGGAGCGACCAAACCCTAATCTCAAAAACGATGGTGTTCTCTAGAGATATCCTTTCTCCTGCATCAATGTTCTCTTCTTACGCATCAATGATGGGATACATCATGATAATCAAACCAATGATTCACACAATTATTCCACGTCCAGTTCAAAACTTCGTCTTCTCTTATCTCAAGTCCTTCGCTGGCTCTCGTTCATCGACTCTCACGCTTACCATCGATCAATTGTCTTCGATGTATATTCCCGAAGAGCTTTACGACGCTGCTCAGGCTTATCTCTCCACCAAGATAAGTCCAAATTCGGTCAGGCTAATTATGGCTAGAGACCCTGCGGAGAAGAAAGTCAAGTTATACCTTAGCGATGGAGAGGTTGTCTCTGATGTCTACAATGGTATTAAGCTCGAGTGGAGGTTTTCTGCTAGCAACAAGAATAATACTATGGCTGAAGAGTATGGCCAAAGCTATCAGGGAAACTTTCAACGGGAATATTTGGAGCTGAGCTTCGACAAGAAACACAGAGACTTGGTCGTGAACTCCTATATACCCTACGTGGAGAGCGAGGCAAAGGTAGTCAACAACAATCGCAGAATCCTCAATATGCATTCCTACTCACACGTGACTCAAAAATGGCAATCCGTGAACTTCGAGCACCCTTCAACTTTCAACACGATGGCTATGAACGACGATCTCAAGCGTTCTGTGATTGAAGATCTTGATCGGTTCGTCGGAAGAAAAGATTACTACAAGAGAGTTGGAAAAGCTTGGAAGAGGGGTTACTTGCTGTACGGGCCACCAGGGACTGGGAAGTCTAGTTTAGTGGCAGCTATGGCTAACTACCTCAAATTCGATATCTATGATCTCCAGCTCGCAAGCGTTCAGGGAGACGCCCATCTACGAAGCTTACTTCTCAGCACTAAGAACAGCTCGATTCTTCTTGTAGAAGATATAGACTGCTCCGTGGATTTGCCTACAAGGTTGCAACCTGAAACCGAAACGACCCTGCCGCTAGGTGCCTTCCAGGTTTGGTCTTCACGATGGTTTTAGTTTGAGTTTTATATTCTGGCAAACAATACATGAGTAAATCTTAATACATTTTATATGTGAATAGGTATCAACACCATTGACGTTATCAGGACTTTTAAATTGCATTGATGGGTTATGGTCGAGCTGTGGAAACGAGCGCATAATAATATTTACTACAAATAACAAGGAGAAGCTGGATCCAGCATTGCTCAGACCAGGCCGTATGGATATGCACATTTACATGGGACATTGTAGTTTTGAGGGATTTAAGACATTGGCGTCTAACTATTTAGGCCTGTCTGACGAAAATGATGATACTCACCCTCTCTATCCGGATATAAAGCATTTGATTGATGGACAAGTGTTGACTCCGGCTCAAGTCGCTGAGGAACTAATGAAGGATGAAGATGCTGATGCGGCGCTTGAGGGTTTAGTTAAGGTTCTCAAGAGGAAGAGGTCAGAGCCAGAGAAGTGTGATGATGAATCTAAGATGAAGAAACTTAAAGAGGGAGAGAAGATAATAGCCGACGCTGAGGAGGCAGTAGCCGACGCTGAGGAGGCAGTAGCCGACGCGGAGGAGACATTGAGGGAATTAGAAGTGTTGAGTCCGGCTCAAGTTGAGGACAAGGAGGAACTAGTTGATAGTCAATATGCTCATGTGATGCCCGCCTTGCTCTCGGGACCGAGGTTGATGGCTCAGTCAGGATTCCCAGGGTTCTATAGAGGAGGAAGAGGAATAGGTCCGGGTTTTAGAGGAAGAGGTATGGGTTTTAGACGAATGTAGTAATGAAGAAACTTAAAGAGGTAGAGGAAGATAATCACTCGGCATTGAGGAGACCTGATGAAGTTGGTTTTTTACATGAAGTTTTTGAATAATCTAATTTTATATACGGTTTTAAAGCCATACATGGCGACAAGACAAAATTACATTGACGTAATTTTCTTTAAAATTCCATTTTATTCTTAGTATATGATATTATAAGGGATTTTAGGTCTAGTCACTGCGAAGAAAGAGGACGGTGAGGATGGCCATCATTTTAGTGAATCATAAGCAGATAATCACACCTCATCTAATACATCATTAGCCTGGTTTCATGTCTGTAATAGAAATAAATCATTAAGAGTTGAAAATACAAACATTTAAGGATTTCAAAAGTTCTTCTAGCGTTGTATTTCATGAAAGTGTGAATGAATCAAAAAAATCAATATCTACGTTTAAGATATTGAAAGAAAAGAGAGAATAAGACATTGAAGCAAATGTGAAACATTCAACAGGGAATGCATATACTTAAAACACAAATCCAGACATACTACAAATCATTCAAATCTTCTTGTGTCAGGAAGACAGGTCCTGGATAAATTTGCTCCAACTTGGAGAGGAGTCTGGCCATCATGGCTAGAGCAGATTCAATAATGTTGTGCAATATACGATCGGAATCATACTTGAAAAGGGACCAAGGATGATGGCTTTCAAAAATTATGGAGACCCTACTGCAAGCTAGTTTCAAACCTATATCTTCGTCATGTAAATCAAGAAATGTCATTGGACTGAAACAATAGTGAATAAGAAGGTTCCTGCGCCAACCCAAAACCTTCATGTATTCCCTCAAAAGAATTAAATCAAGCGGAGAGGCAACTTGTACAAGAGCATCATCAAGGACATCATCAGCAATCTGGATTTGCTGATTGAAGAAATAGGGGTTACTAATGATTCACATTTGAATGTGTTATTCACATTTTAGATATTTCTGAACTAAAAGGTAGAGGAGTAAATACCTGGTCTAAGCTCTGAAAACGAGAGATATACTCAGTTGGAGGCATCTCCATTTGTTGTCGCCAAGCCATCAGATCTTCACACATCGCTAGATAATGCACAAGGAAGGTGCACTGAGGGCAAAAGGTCTCCGCACAGGGACATGTAGTGTGATGCCGTTCAAACCAATCAGCCTAAGATTCAGTGAGTTTAATTGCATAAAACATGCCACAACCATCTCGAGGACAATTGAGAAACTCCTTGGCAGATGTGTAAGAAAGAATGACAACTGCTTGATAATCATCCCATGAATCGGAAGACAATGAATAACAAGGGTGTAAAACCATGCAACCTTCTTTACCACATGCCAAGGTAAGGGAACCCTGTGCCCTTTTCCCACCAATTCAAATACTCATCGCTGGGATAAGATGAGACTTATCCATCCTTCCACTTTCGGTTAGTTCAATGGCAAAGAACAACGAAAAACCTTCTCGACGACATGCATGAAACTTCTTGGCAGAGCAGTACAACTAATGCTATTATTCAAAGTTTGTAGAGTGTGTACTATAATTGTGCAAAACATGTCTTGATGCTATTTTAGGATATTTATCAATAAAATATCTTTATTTTTATTTTATTTTAATTACTAAAGGAAGAGAAAACAAAAATAGTGTCACATTCAAAGTAAAATGTACACAAGTGTGCTACAACATGGAATGTATTTGGTAAAATCACCGATTTCTCGATCATTTCGACATGTTTTTTCAACAAATTTTGACTAGTTCTTGGTTGCAAGTTGTCTCCAAACCCGAGAAGACCGATAACAAAGAATATGTAGTTAGTTTTTTCGGTGGTCTCTGGTAGATATTTGAACATTGTGTTGATCCAAATCGATGAACAAACCAATAATCCGTGTATGAAAAAAAAATCTATAAAACATTACGCATTGTCAAAATAATGGGTAGAACAAAATAAATATAGTAGTGTCTGATTCAATCAACCACTAGTATTATATCAAAAGATTTAATAATGAAAAATGTTGGCAAGAAAATGAACTTATGTTATATTGTAAATTATTCACACTCATTGATGATGGAGAGAGTGAAAGTAAGAGGTGAAATATATATATACATTAAAACCTCTATAAATTAATAATTATTGTAATTTTTCTTTTTTTAAATCGAACAAATCTACAAATTAACAAAATTCGATAAAATATAAAACAATATTCGTTTAAACTTTTTATGATTATCCTATTATTATTATTATCATAAATTAATATATATATATATATATATATATATATATATATATTTCAAAAAATTTGGTATATTTAAATGATATAATATACTAATATATGATTTTACAGTTTTTGTTTTTTTTTTTTAAAAAAAATCATTAGAGTTCGTCTCTAACTCTTAAGTTTAATTTTATAAAAAATTGATATGTTATTAATTTTAATCTAAAAGTTTGTTACAATTTCCAAAAAAAATTAAAAAAAAATTATAACTTTCGATTTTGAGATATTTAGTAGTATTGTTAAACAAAATCTCAAAGTGATAATTTAAAGAATTTCTTTATAGTTATGTATTTATTTCCATTATATTATCATGAAAAAAGCTTTTAATTATTTCAAAGAAATCTTAATTTTATAAAACTTATTTTCTTAAACATTTTATGATTTATGTCTTCAATCTACAAAAAATTGTAATTAAAATTACAGTAGTATTTTGACACGCATGTGATCTTATCAATTATAAAATAAGATGTACATGGCATTGGTATTAAAAAAATCCAAATTTAATTAATAACATATATATTATATAGGGGTTGTCAACTAGTGGGGACACAAAAAATTATGGAATTTCGGTTTTCTTTGTGATATATCATATATGACTTCATATTTAGATTACCAAAAATATTATTCAAGATAAATGTTTAGCTCCTCTCCACATATGAATTAACAACAACCTCTTATACTCCGAGTGCCTTTGGTACAGACGTACAGTTGGTGCGTTTCAGATCATCAACAATGTTTTCTCTTAGAAATCTTCCTTCCCTTGCACCATTTGTCTCAGCCTACGCATCATTGACGGGATACATCATGATGATCAAACCATTTATTGAGATGACAATTCCACCTCCGTTACAAAACTACATCATCTCTAATCTCAATTCTTTCTTGCACTCTACTCCATCGACTCTCACGCTCATCATCGACGACCAGATCAAAAATGGGATGTTCAACGAGCTCTACGGGGCTGCTCAGGTTTATCTCTCTACCAAGATCAACTGCAACGCGGCAAGGCTTAGGATCTCTAGAGACCGCAGTGAGAAAAACGTCAATTTACACCTCAGCGTAGGAGATGTTGTCTCGGATGTCTACCAAGGCATTGAGCTCAAGTGGCGTTTTTGTGTTGAAAGCAAGAAGACCAATATGGTTCATGATTTTGGGGAACATTTTAAGCTAAACTCCGATCGGGATATTCGAGCTTAGCTTTGAAAACAAACACAGACACTTGGTCTTGAATTCTTATATACCTTACGTGGAAAGTAAGGCAAAGGTGATCAACAACGAGAGGAAAATCCTCAAGATGTACTCCTACTGTAACATGTATCTAAAATGGCAATCCGTGAACCTCGAGCACCCGTCAACATTTGACACCATGGCTATGAACGACGAGCTAAAGCGTTCTGTGATGGGAGATCTTGACCGGTTCATTAGAAGGAAAGCTTTTTACAAAAGCGTTGGGAAACCTTGGAAAAGGGGTTACTTGCTGTACGGTCCACCTGGGACTGGGAAGACTAGCCTAGTTGCGGCCATTGCTAACTACCTTAAGTTTGATATCTATGATCTCCAGCTTGCAAGCGTGAGGGAGGACGCTGATCTAAGGAGATTACTTCTCGGTACTAGGAACAGCTCCATTCTTTTGGTAGAAGATATAGACTGCGCCGTGGATTTGCACACACGGTTGCAACCAAAGACTCAAGATGATACTAAGGTTTGTTCTTTATTTTCATTAAAAAAACTAAGATTAATTTATAGATTATCTCTCGAAATGCTTGCAACCAATACGTGGATCCTATGTGAATAGGGATCAGAAATGTTGACGTTATCAGGGCTCTTAAATTGCATAGATGGGTTATGGTCGAGCTGTGGAGACGAACGCATTGTAATCTTCACCACAAACCACAAGGAGAAGCTTGATCCGGCATTGCTTAGGCCAGGACGTATGGATATGCATATTCACATGGGACATTGTTGTTTTGATGTATTCAAGACTTTGGCGTCTAATTACTTGGGCTTGTCCCACGACGACCCTCACCATCTTTACCCGGAAATTGAGCGTTTGATTAAAGGAGAAGTGTTGACTCCAGCTCAAGTTGCAGAGGAGCTAATGAAAAATGAGGATCCTGATGTGGCGCTCGAGGGGTTGGTTAAGGTTCTCCAACGGAAGAGGTCAGAGTTGGAGAAACTGGAAGAGGAGACTTGAGGCCATGTTTGTTTATTTATCATCGTATATTCACTTCAGATTTTTAAGCTTCAAAGAATTGATCCGGAGAATTAAAATTCAACTGCATAAAATTGTGAGTTTGGATTTATGTAAACATTACAAACACATATTTATTTATAATAAGTAAATTAAAGGAGACATTTATTTCTTAGAGTAATTTATATTCATTTTCATTTTCGATATGGGACATTTTAACATGTATATATTTATGTGTGATTTTATTATTGGTGAAAACTGAAAGAATGTGGATAGACTATCTTAATAAAATTTAAGAAGAGTTGAAATTCAATTACAAAACATTCAATCAAACCATAATTTTATAGATTACAAAAAATACAACGCAGATAAATAAATAAATAAAATAAAGAATACAATAAAAATACTGCAGAACAAATCTTTCTTTGTGACTGTGATTTATGAACTGAAAGTCTGAAACGTATCCTTTCAAAGTTCTTTTCATTGTCTTCATATATCTGTTCACAGCTCATCTTTGTAGATATTTTCAACGAATTTTGAAGATATTGGTTCCTTCAAAAATTCTTTGAACCATTTTGCTGATTCCTTTTCGTGACGAGTCAAATTATTTTTGTAGTCGATGTAATACAGCCCGTATCTCGTTTCATAACCATCTTGCCATTCGAAATTGTCTAGCAATGACCATGCAAAGTATCCTGTCACATTTACTTTATCCACACTGCAACAAGAAAATTAAATTAAATCATTTATCAAAAATTGAAATTGTTACAAGAAATCTATTTTAAATATAAAAAAATCATAATTCATAAATCAACTCACCAAATTGCCTCATTTAGACTTAAAAGATGCCTCTGGTGGTAATATTTTCTATTGTAGTCAGCCAGTGCATTGGGAAGCTTATCATTAGCTCCCAAACTCTCTCCATATCCTGAAGCAATTAGTATTTGTTAATTTAAAAGTCACTCATTTTTTTGTTTTATAATTTCTTAAATCCTAGTAGTGGTTTCATACTTGTATAGTATTGAAAATGTGTTTTTTTTTGTTGTTCATTTTTTATTACCATTCTCTGCGATGATAATCTCTGGATCACCGTATTTATCCTTAACATATTTCAGAAGTTCCCGTAATCCATTTGCATAAACGGCGAGTGAAGCAGTTAAAGGCTGCAAAAAACATTATGGAGTAAATTATATTTTCCTGAAACTTTGCAAGCGTTGATTTCTATAAATAAAAGTGTGGCCTCAAAAATTAATTTAAAAAATATGACATTCTATGAAATGGAATACCCTAATTCTATATATCTAAAATTTGAAATCTAAGAGCCATTTTGTATACCTTGCTACCGATGTTGTATCCTAGTATATTCTTGGCTGAAAAAAGTAAAAGAAAAATAGTGAGAATTAAGAAAATGCATATTGAGAGATGATTGATTCTTGATATTGGAACTCAAGTTTATAATGAATATCCGTTTTAATTGGTAGAAAAACTTACGATCCCACTTAACAAGAGAGTCAGATTCCCAAGTTGGTCTTGAAGGATCAATGAGTCCATTGTAAGTAGCGAAGGTGGCAGTATAATAATTGATCCCAACAAAATCATATGACATCTTCAGTTTCTGCTTTTGATCCTCTGTGAATTTAGGCAACCGATCTCCGACTTGATCCTTCATTATCTGTGGATAATCACCATATGTGGTTGGATTCATGTGCCTACATATATACGAAAAACATTTATAAAATTTAACTTATGACTTCACACCATAAGTTTAAGCAACATCTTGTATATCGTAATTTACCATCCCAACATGAACTCTAGGGCTCGTTCAACAGAAACATTAGCATGTGGACTAGACTCAAGAGCGTGGGGCTCGAACCAAGAAGGACTATGCGCAATCCCGATCTTCCCACCTTTGCACTACACATAGGGGATTAATATTTTGTTAGGAGTGATATCAGAATAGCATTCAATGTATTAATAGACTTCATCTAGTATAATATCATATCACGGTCTAAACTTAAGAGTCCGGAACAGCTATATGAATATTAGAGCGGTAAAAAGAGCACGGGTCCATTATTAGTAAATATAAACATTACTGTATATACCTTTGCGCATTTTCTAAACTCATGAACGGCTTCGGCATGAGCTAAAAGTAGATTGTGGCTGACTATGTAAAGCTCGTGCCCTGAACTCCCTCCAAGACAAGTCTTGTTGACATATTGCGAGCAACGTCCCGGCGCTTTCTTCCCTATGTCGTAACCGGCTCTGCTATACACCCACGGCTCGTTGAACGTGATCCACTTCTTCACTTTGTGGCCATACTCGTTGAACGTGAAGTTGGCAAACTCAAGAAAATCATCTCTGTATATGTGTACAATTAGGTTAAGTTATAACTTGTATGATTTTACTTCTCGGATTTGAAACTAAAGAGATAACTTACATTACACGTTCGCTTAGAAAACCGCCGTATTCATCTTCTAGGTCTTGAGGAATGTCCCAATGGAAGACCGTTGCTAGAGGAGTTATACCTGAATATACATTATGCAATCATATGAATAAATTAATCTCATATTCTCATATATTATTTATTTTCAAGAAATAATTATCAAGAAAAAAAGTCAAAGTCATTACCATTTGCAAGAAGCTCGTCTATAAGATCGTGGTAAAACTTGACACCCACCTTGCTAACGCCCTTATCCTTTCTTCCATCTGATGATTTGTAAGAAATGTTAACGAATATATATAATTAATAATTAAATATAGCTTTAACAAAACAAAAAATGTTTAAATGTATAGATGAATGGACGTCTATACTCACGAGGAAATATTCGGGGCCATGAAAAAGAGAATCTGAAACCGTCCATGTTTAGTTTCTTCAATAACTGAATATCTTCCTGTACCATATAAGAAATTTGTTTTAGATTATCCGTGTGTTTATGTGTAATATTGCTGCAACTATAAAGCTTGTAGCCTATGAAAGTTATGTATTCATATGTACCTTGTAACGATGGTAGAAATCAACTGCTACATCGGCATTATCATTGTTTGTCCTCTCTAAAAATATCGTTAAAAATGGGTTTAATATATGTAAAAGGAAACAGTACTCTAAAAATGAAATATGATTATAAATATATAAATAGGATTACTTACCAGGATGTTTAAGGGTATAGTAATCCCACATACTTGGACCCCTGCATCCTTCTTGGACCGCACCTTCATACTACAACATGAATTATATACGTCAATTTTGATTGATCAACATATGAAGTTTAGTTGTTGGTTGATATTTAAAAAAAAGTTAGCATACATAGCATGAGAAATTTATACACTAACACTTAATGCGGCAGAAGCAGCATATGAAGTTGTAGATCCAAACTTAATATATGCATTAGATCACTAAATTTTTTTTTTACAATACCTGAAATGCGGCAGAAGCAGCTCCAAAAATAAAACCTTGAGGGAAAATATCCCGATTAAATGATGTGGATGTGGAAGAACATATTGGTCCGTTCGTAGATGCGAAAACAGAGTTTACAATAGAAAGCAGTAAAACTAAAACCGAAATCACAAACTTTGCAGTAGTCATTGCGTAAGTTGAAACCATGTAGGAATTGTTGTTGAGTAGTTAATTAAGTTGAGAGAGCCATGAATGCTCTTTTATATACGGTTTATAATTTGAAAGAGTACGTAGCGAATTTGAGGTCACATTCTTATACAATTTTGACATTTCGTTGGTGTCAATTGTTCGGTAATTATATGGAAATGTTCTCAAACTGTGTACGGGGACTTGATGTTCAAAAAATGCATACATTCCACAAGAAAAGTCAATATTGAGATTTTCTTGACCAAGTTGAAAAATTACTGTTATGGTTGCCGCATTTTTATATTTCGTGCAAGTCAAATTACAACAAAATATTAAGTTGTTTATCAAAAATAACAAAATATTAAGTTTTTTTATCCAAAATAAAATGAAAACACAGCATTGACGTAGATAAAAAATTCTATGAATATTTTTTCATTGCTTCTCAAAATGTAGAATTTCATGGTTTGTATTTATTTATTTTAAAATGAATATCGAAAAACTAGTTAGTACGGTACGTAACTATCCCTAGATTGTTACTTTTATTTGACGGTAATATTTGGATATTCTTTGTCTTAATGATTTGGTCAATCATGATTCATGAATAATTGGGTTCTGAGACCCCATACCATAAATGAAATCGAAATTTATAAAATCAAAATTACCTACGTAAAAAAATCCGCCGACATAAGCCACAAACTACACTGCAACGTTTGGGCCTGAAAAGCCCAATGAAAGAGGGTCATTATATTCATTGTCCGTAGCAGCCTCAAGTGCTGAGGATCTTCTTTCAAAACGGTAGCGTTTAAGACTTCCAAAATTTTCTTACTACGTTCGGCAATAAATCTTAACCATCATCAATGCTACAAGCCATAAGCAACTGAAATGGTGAGAAAATAGCAAATTCAAAGATGTGGTTTCAAAGTATTACAATAACAAGAGGTAATTTTCTACATCAAATCTTGTAAATCGTACGAAGACTTTGTTTACACTTCAACATTCATATCTTAATTTGTCAAAAGTGACTAATAAGTTTTCATGTTTTGTGCAATTCCCACAAGGTTTTGTTTCTTTTCGGAAGAAGCCCACAAACTTACAAGGCTTGCAACAAAGACCTCTCTCCTACTCATTATGACCGTACTATGATCAGTTCCGGCGATAACCTCGACTTCAACCGCAGGGAACTTCCCTTTCATGTTCCATAGACAATCAATAGGAACAACAACATCTTTATCCCCTTGCACCACATTGATTTTAACACCGGATTTTATCAAAGTTTCAAGGTGTTTATCCGTGAATTTCGCTCCTCCGCATATCACATTGTGCATGCTATGCCATCCTGATTGATGTGTGTGCTTTGTCAATTCCATTATCGATGTTGGTAGTTTCCTAAACATTAAAGAAAACAGAATGTTAAAGATGGACCTTCACCAACAATAGTCCTTGTCTTTATATATATATATAAATACGGACTTTCTCCAAGTTACAATTTTGATGATTCTCTCCCATGTACGGTGGTGTTTACAAACAACCAAGCAAACGCCACGGCCAATGTGTTCATACCAAGCCATCATCGCCGTAAAAAACGAAGTCGGTGGCCAAAGTTTCTTCTCGGCGATCACATTTAGAGCATCACAACTTGCTCCTTCTTTTGAATCACCTAAATACGGCTAAAACCAAAACAATAAACATTTCAGAACAAACGTTGACTAAAATTGTGAAGAGAAATCAGATTCCTATGATCGGAAAACTCACCGGAGCTACTAAAGCTACAGACTTGACGCTGTCGGAGAATTTTGCAGCTACGGCTATTCCAATGATACATCCCATGGAGTGTGCTACAACATGGAATGAAGTCAAATTATTTGGTAAAACAACTGATTTCTCGATCATTTCGACATGTTCATTCAACGAATATTGACTGGCTCTTGGTTTCGGGCTGTCTCCAAACCCGAGAAGATCGACAGCAAAGAATCTGTAGTTAGCTTTTTCGGTGGTCTCTGGTAAATATTTGAACACTGTGTTGGTCCAAAACGATGAAGATGACATAAATCCGTGTATGAAAATAACGTTCTCTACCGGTTTGTTGCTTATCAACAAATCTGATCAAAATGAAAATAAAATAAATGAGAAGTTAAAACAGAACATAACCCAACTAAATCACTTATATTACTAATTACCTGATATTGAAGGTTGCTTGACGATCACGTTAAGTTTATCAGTGTTGGTCCAAGAAACACAAGTCTTGCAACCACAATCAGACCACCGGTTTGCAACCTCATGAGAGACTTTCTTCATCGTCTGAGGAAAAAGGAATTTTCTCAGGAAAGTAACGATACCAATTTTCTTGGTTATCTCAGGGAGTTTTTTCGCAAACCGGAGAAAACCGGCCTGTCGGAAAACGTTTCTCCTCCGATAGAGAGTCTCCGAAAGAAACTCGTACCCTGCAAAATCTGTTTTCTCTTGAGGGTTTTTACAGTGACAAGACTCTAATTTTTCTTCCATAACTTCGTCGAGGAATCTGAAAACGATGCAAAGAAAATCGTCGAGGAGGTCAAAAAAGAAGAAGACGGCCCAACTTGGAGCTCCGTTGATGACTGATATACATTTTTCTGAGAAACTCGAAGCAATCATCACAACGATCTTTAGAGAGAGAGATAAATAGATAAAGAAGAGACTCTCTGGTGAGAAGAAATATCTCTTTAAGACAGGTTTTTATAGACTTTACATGCATTTCCTTGATTTTTACACGCAGTTAATTATCTAATTATTATTATTATTATTATTATTTTTTTTTTTTTATCTAATTAATTTATATATTATGATTTAAGGGATTGAGTTTACTACATGCGATAACTATTTACTTTTTACTTTTTATTGTACAATGGCTTTGTAGTTTTTGTTTTTAAAAAGTCTACTCAGATGACATAGTTTTTTTTTTGTAATACATGGAGACTGAATTAATTGATTAATCATAGTCCTTTTAAAATATAATTTAACCAGGTGGAAGATCGCATGGATTGAAATTAAATATAATAAAATGCACATGTTTCTAAAATATTTTAATCGTATTTAAATTGGTTGACGGTGTTTAAAAAAATTAATGAGATTTGTATCCAGTTAAAATTTCTTAATTGGTCAACTATCCAATTTCAATCTAAGTCATCTCAATTCTCAATAGAGGTATCGTCTCGTGATGGTGTATTTTATCCATTTCCAATCAAAGTAACTCCAATACTCAACGTAACAGAGTTATAGTTGCCCATTATAGGACATTTTTAAACAGTGAAAATTCATCCGAAAATGTTTGACAATTGAAAATGTTGACTATTTTCTAAGGTCTTGAGGAATGCTGACTACCACAGTAGAACTCATCCATTTGAATAATATTTTAAGTTTGTGTAATCTTTTTTTTTGTAACCGAAGAGTTTTGGACGAATATTTGAGACCAAGAACCTGACTAAGGGAAAACTAGCTAAGGGTAGAATTTGAACCCAAAACTTGGTCATAATCCTTAAAGACTTCCCAAAATCCACTGATCGTGTTAAGCGGAATCATTCATTCAAAATATATAAATCGTGTAAGCTATTTGGGAATATCTTTTTTTTTTTTTTTGTAAAAAGTTAAAAACCGAGTTTTTAGTTTATTGTCAAGTTAAACAAGTAGAGAATCACGGGACAATATATAACAAGTAGGAAACTAAATGATTAGAGACTTTCTTTTTATTTTCCTCAATCGACGTCGCTGACCAATTCGATGCAGACTCATAATCTGTTGGTCTACTTTAATATAATTCTTCTATATGATATAATTCTTCTATGTGGAAGACCCATGCGTTGCATGCGATTGGAATTAATATAGTAAAATGCAATATGTTATTTCTAAAATATATTGAATAATTGAAATATGTTTAGCTGTTTTAAAACATATTGACTATTTTAATATCATATAAAAAAATTATTGTTTATAGAAATTTTTTATTTAGGGGAACTTTTGAAAAATGCATGTTTGGTGTGTCTATTTTTAAAATGCTTCGTTTAGGTGTTTATTTTGAAATATAAATTTTATTAAATCCAAAAAATTATAAAGTTTTATAAGGTTTGTAAGATATCTTTTGGATGGTAACTATTACCTGTAAAACTCGATCCAAGTGTTTGTAAGGTTAAATAAGGTTTTAGAAAGTATTTTAAAAGGTTTTACAAAATATTTATAAGATATTGCTCACCAAAAAAAAATATTTATAAGATATTTGTAAAATATTTATACGGTATTTATAAGATTTTAAACACATATAAAAGTAGTTTGTGTATGTTTTAATAAAATTACACACATATTTAGGTAAATTTTATTTTCTTAAAAGCATTTTTGATAAGATTTTAGATTAAAAAATTTTTTTTGAAAGAAACCTTACATATTTTCTAAAAGTCAAGTGATATTTCCCAAGAATGAAATGTTTTAATACTAAGTGACTCAGGCTTAGTCCTTTTATATACAAACATCATTTTAAGGATTTTAAAATTCTACTGTCTGAACGAAGACTTACGTACACATATGTAAAATATATCAATCTAAAATTTAATGTGAGAAGAATCTCTTGTATGAAATGTTAGTCTCAACAACGGGTTAATAATTAGTTTAAACTAATCTCTTGTATGAAATGTTAGTCTCAACAACTTCTGATTTAGGATCAAGGTCCATTGCACCCACTTCTTCTGATAAACTAAGTGCGCAGACTTAGAAAATTATTTAAAACAAATGCTTTTTTCTATAAGACTATATAACAAATTATAATCTCCTATCTCTTTGTTGTCTGTTAGATAATATCCTCGAATATAGAAATATTCTATATATCGATAATGTCAAATATGTATAGAGACTTGGAGGCCAAGACTATTGTAATCTATATAAACGATTGTCTCATGAATATATTTCTCTACGGAGTTTCATAATCTTACATGGTATCAGACGCTTAACCTAGCCACCAAGCTATAAGCGATCGATCCTATCTCCGCTCTCTTTCAATCTTCTTCATCTTCTTCTTATTCATACCTTCTTTCTCATCCTCTTCAATATGACTAATCCTTCTTCCACCCCAAACGAAAAACCCTTCAGCATCTCTCAAATCAAAGCCTATGTTCCTATCACTCTCGATATGAACAAACTTAATTACCAAGCATGGCGAGAACTGTTAGAAACCCACTGTACCTGTTTTGGCGTTCTCGGCCATCTCGACGGCACATCCGTGTCTACTGCTGAAACTGAAAAGACGTGGAAGGAACATGATGGATTGGTGAAGATGTGGATCTATGGCACTATATCCGAATCAATCCTTGACACCGTTCTCAAAACCAAGTGCTCGGCTCGTGATCTTTGGCTCACAATTGAGAACCTGTTCAGAGACAACAAGGAGGCTCGTGCGTTGGAACTCGAAAACGAATTACGGACCACCGTGATTGGTGATCTCTCTGTCCACACTTACTGTCAGAAACTCAAAACCCTCTCCGATCAGCTCTCAAATCTGGACTCACCCGTCACAAATCGAAATCTGGTCATGCACCTTCTCAATGGTCTCTCAGACAAATTTGATAACATAACTAATGTTATCAAACACAAGTCACCATTCCCAACATTCATTGAAGCTCGCTCAATGCTCACCATGGAAGAGAAACGACTTACCAAACACACACCGCCGGCGCTTGTCAACACCAACACCGCCTCTGCTCCGGAGCTGCTCTACACATCCTCCGACCAGCAGCGTCAATCCAACAGCAGCGGCTACTTCAACAACAACCACGGCGACCAATCGAGCTACAACAACGGCGGTAGAGGAAATCGAGGTAGGGGTCGCGGTGGACGCCACAACCGTGGCCGTGGACGCTACAACAACTGGTCTCCATCCTACGGTCAACACTGGCCATTCGGCAATCAGCCATGGCCACCGGCGTACCCACCATCGCTGTCTCCATACCCTAACCCTCAATTTCCTCAGATGGGCTCATTCCCAAATTATTCGGCCCAGAATAATTTTCAGCCTGGTCTTCTTGGGCCTGCTCCTTCTCGGCCCAACACTGAAGCTCTGCTTGCTCACGCCGTTGCTCAACAACAGCTGAACCCGTACTTGCCTGCAGCCATCACTCACGCCTTCCACACGATGCAATTGCCAGACCCGAACCAGTACCCTTGGATTCTGGATTCTGGAGCCACAAATCACATAGCTGCAAACTCAGGTACTCTACATTCCATTTTTAATTCGAGCAATCTACCATCTATCACTGTTGGAAATGGGTCTTGTGCTCCTGTCACGACAATGGGTCAGGGAATTCTAAACTCTTCTTCTCGTCCCTTTCATCTTCGTAACGTTCTTGTTTGTCCTTCAATAATTAAAAACTTGATCTCTGTTCGCAAGTTTGTAACAGATAATTTTTGCACTCTTGAATTTGATCCTTTTGGTTTTACTGTTAAGGACCTTCAGACTCGGGCCAAACTCCTCCGCTGTGATAGTCCGGGACCGCTATACACCTTCACTACGTCATCCTCAAATCATTCTCCTCTCGCTCTCGCTGCTTCACATTCAAATAGTTCTCTTTGGCATCGAAGACTCGGTCACCCAAATGATCAAGTTCTTCATCGTATTCTCTCATCTCTCTCTATTTCTTGCAATAAGGCCGACTTGACAACATTGTGTCAAGCGTGTCAATTAGGTAAACATACTAGGCTTCCGTTTTTTACTTCTACAAGCATTGTCTCTCATCCTTTCGAAATTATTCATTCCGACATTTGGACATCTCCGGTTTTAAGTACGAGTGGAATCAAATATTATCTTATTTTTCTTGATCAATTCTCTCATTATGTCTGGGTATATCCTCTTCACAGAAAAAGTGATACTTTTGCCAAATATCTTCACTTTTCTAACTATGTGCAGACACAATTTCACTGCAAAATCAAGGCATTACAATGTGATAATGGTGGAGAGTATGATAATCGGGCTTTCAAAGAACAATTGGCGACCGACGGCACCGTCTTCCGTTTCTCGTGTCCCTACACTTCTCAACAAAATGGTCGTGCCGAAAGAATGCTACGTACCATCAACAATGTGGCCCGTACGTTTCTACTTCAAGCTTCAATGCCTCTCACGTATTGGGTAGAAGCTCTCAATGCTGCCGTTCACACCATCAATCTCTTACCATCGTCTGCCATCAATAATGAAGTCCCTCACACCAAGCTGTTCAAGACGCCACCGTCGTACCATCACCTCAAAACCTTCGGGTGTTTATGTTATCCAAATGTTCTACCATCGACGCCACATAAGCTTGCTCCGCGGTCCGTCCCGTGCGCTTTTCTCGGTTACCCGACTGATCATCGGGGTTTTCGATGCCTCGACATGTCTACAAAGAAAATCATACTCTCCCGCCATGTCACGTTCGATGAAGCCTCTTTCCCATTTTCTACTTCACAACCTCCATCTGTAAGCTCTATTTCTCCTCCTATTTTACTTCCACCATCACCAATTCCTCATGACTCTTCTCCTCCACAAAATCTTACTCCTCCTTCTCCTCCACCTGCTCAAATTCCACCTCCACCTCCTATTCCTACTCATTCCATGACAACTCGCAGTAAAAGTGGTATCGTTAAACCACGAATTCGATTGTGTCTTCACACTGACGCCACAATTTCTCCTTTACATGTGTCTCA